CCCCCCCCCTCCCCTTCCTTATCCCCTTCCCACCCCCATGTGTCCCCTTTTAAACGAAATATGGTAAACATAGAAGAATCTAGCCCAGTGGCGTGTAAAGCAGCACCCAGCAGTTAAGTCTGTGAAGGGGAAGGAGGTGCAGATTGAGGCCTCCATGGTGAGGGAAGGAGTAGGGCAGGAGCTAGGGTGAATGGGGCCCTGGGGCTGAGGTGGGTTGTGGGATGGAGCCACAGGCAGCTTGTCCGAGGGCATGGGGAAGGGGAGCGCAGCTCCCTGCCACTGTGTGCACTCCCAAGGGAGGCATGAGGCACAGCATGGCTGACATCTCTGACTCACAGGGCAAAGACAGCAGGGAGCGGAGCCCTAGCCCACAGCAGGCAGCTTTGCTTTGCCCTGCGCAGAAATCGGGGGGGGGGGGGGGGGGGGGGGGGGGCACATACCCCCACCATGCCTCCCCCAGGGTTGTGCACAGCAGTGGGGAGCCATGTCCCCCCACCCCTGAATGAGCCAACCTGCAGCTCTGTCCCACAGCCTGCCCTGGCCCTAGGGCCCCATTCACCCCAGCCCCTGCCCTTTCCCTGCTCCCTCCCTCACCATGCGGGTCTTGATCTGCGTCCCCTCCGGCCCTTTCCTTCTTCCCCCATCCCTTTCCCTCCACAGACTTAACTGCTGAGCGCTGCTCTCCATGCTGCTGGGCTGCATTCCTGACTGTATGCAGGCTGTGTTGGTGTGTGTCTGCATGTTCCCAACCCCCTGCCTTCCTGTTGCAGTAGCCTGGAGCCTACGCCCAGGCTGCCCTGTGGTTCCCTGCACTGCCAGTGCTGCCCTTTTGGGCAGCCTGGAGGCAGCGTTGATGGCAACGGAGCAGAGCCTGGGTGCAGGCTCCAAAACCACATGCACGATTAACATGTTAAAAAAATTAAAGCAAGAACCAATTAACACGTTAATCATGCACGTTAATGGCAATTAATTGACAGCCCTAGAATATTGCTTTACCTTGAACTGTGGACCTCTTGAATCCTGTTTATTTCTAGATTTACGTAGAATAAACATTATTGCCCTGTTTTACAGATGGGTAAGCCAAAACATACAGATGTTGAGACCCATATTTCCAAATATAGCCCTGAATTTTCACTGACAATCTTTACACGGCAAAAGCTTGATTTCTTTTTATGTGGTGCTGAGCATGCTGCATGTCCCAGTTATGTCAGCTGCGTGTGTGGAAAAGCAATGTACAAAGCACAGGATTGGGATCCAGGAGACCTAGGTTCTTTTCTTAGCTCTGACTTGCTGGGTTACCTTGGACAAATGACTTCGTCTTTGTACTTCAGTTTTCCTACCCATAAAATGGGGATAATGATACTGTCTCCTTCATTAAGTACTTTAAGACTGATGAATGAGAGGCACAATATGAGCGAGGTACTTTGTTTTGTTATAGCTGTATGGTTGCTTAAGACTGTGAAAAACTGGGTACCTGGCAATTGAGTTGCATACAATAGGAGTAAAAAATGTCGCCATGTCTTTTCAAGAAGGCACTGTTGTCCAGTGAACTGAAAATCAGAAGTCTGGCTCCAAATAATGGTTCAGACACTGGCTTGCTGTGCATCTGTGAGGGAATCAGATGACTTCCTTGCCCTTCCTACAAGGAGGATATTTAACGTTTTCCTTACTAGAAATGGATTTGGAAGACTTAACATGCAGAATATTGAATGAATTTCCACAAGCAATTTTTTTTTATTCCTTTTGCCAAAGCTTAATACATATGAGAAAAATTTTGAGAGAGATTAACCAGATACCTGACATTTTAGCTGGGAAAACCTAGTTCCAACCTTGACTAACTGATACTCAACAATACAGAGCACAAAGATGTTTCATCTCTTCATTCTGAAAATAAATCATTTAATTTTATTCCTTGTGGCTTCCTTTGCTGCTTTGCTTGAATGGAATTGGTGTATGTCCTCATGTCAAACTGTTTGTTATGAACAGAATTCTCTCGTTGGGTGGCAAAGGTTACAGCTGGGGTAGCTGTTAAACATGATTATTTGAAAGCCTTCATCTTGTTGTTGACTAGCTGAGGTTTGTTTCCATAGGAACTGAAGCAGCAGTAGGGTCATTAGCCGGGTTGCAGATTTCCGTTGCAACTGCTCTCTGCATACAAGAGCAGACTTTCAAGCCAATCTCGTGAAACCTAAAGATTAAATTTTTATGCTGTGGTTATTCAGGAAGCAAAGAAAACCATTTTTCCCCTCCATTGTAGCATCTGCATAACCTCAGAAAGGACGTTGGTTTTGGGCTGTGAATAAATTTGTTCATTCAGATTGCATTTGCTTAGTGACTGGTCCATCAAGGAAATGTCTTATTTTGTAGATAAAATTGATTCCATTTTTGCAAGCTGGCTGTGCCTGTGGTGGCAGAGATTATTCTTGTGGAGGAAGTGGAGTTGAGATAAAATGTACACAGAAAAGACTTAGCTTTATATCCAGCATTGCTTTCTGAGGGACTGGGAAGGTTGGGAGTCTTTGCTTCAGCTTAAAGATCTAACCTTGTTCTTCTTTGCTGCTGAAAGCCAATGGGGAAGTACTGGATGCATTATTTATGGAAATTGCTAGCAGTGGTCTTGGAAGATGTATACCTCTGAAGTGCAGCTTTGGCTCAAAAACCACTGCATGAGATAATTATCCTGGAGCTAATCTTCCCATTTTTAAAAGAAGATTACTGAGAAGGTTGCGGAGTGACAGCTCTCAGCATCTGCATGCTTTATAGCATCTCAAGACCCCTTGTAGTTGGAGCCCACACCACCCTTTAGCACAGAGACTGTCCCTCGAATGAAGATCAGGTGTCCTAGTTGACATGAGAAGGTCTACCAGCTCTCTTCAGAGCTGTGGGAGTGTTGATTGGTCTGCAAACCTTAGCTGGAGCAAACAAGGTTTTCTTTCAGTGGTTTCATGTTTTACCAATTTCCCCACCTCTGCAAGCAAAATCTACAGCATCCCACAATCCATCTTCCCATACTCAGTGTAGATGTTGGGTTTTCTTTTTAGTGTCAGGGTTATACCCATTTTGTTTTGATCCATTTGGTTGTACAAAAAAGTGCTTAATAGTGCTTTGAGATTGGAGCAAGCTGGCTAAACTTCAGTCCAGATAAGACTGAGGGTGATGCTGGCAAGTCACAAAAACAGTTGGAGAATATGGCCCCTTTCGTTGAGGTTATCTGCCAACAGAGCCTCAAATTAACTACTTTGATATGGACAAATCCCAAGCTGTCTTTTAGATAGTTGTGTTGCTGTGACCACAGCTGCTTTGCGCTGTTCTTACTTGGCCAGTAGAGAGCAACATTTTCTTTGTGATGCCAACTATACTACAGATCTGCTTGGAAACTTTAACAGAAAGTAGTTGCCTGCTTTCTTGAATGATGTGTTCAGTTGAGAACAAGGGCTCTCAAATCTGCATTGATGCTTGCTGATTTCCTGATGGAAATTAAGGGTGGTATTCTGTTCCCTTAGTCATATAGGTGTCCAGATATGGCCATCTACATGGCATTTCTGGTTGTATGAGTGCCAAACATGAGATGATATGTTAATTAGCAGAATTAGGTTATCGGATATTCATGGGATACTGTATGTGCACCTCAATTTACAAGTGTATTTAACCTTTTGACCAAAATCCTTGGCTAATCCATTGCAGTTGGGATCAGGTATACTTATACATATTTAAACTTTTGGTGAGGCATAACTTGAGAACTCAACATTAACATTGAAAGCTACAATAACAGCATTTGTATTTGCTTGATGGGGTATGTGTGTTGACTGTGACCAGTACAGAGTTGAAGAGAAGGGCCTGCAGGCAGGGCTTTACTTGTTTTAGACTCTGCAGGGAACTCTTCCCTACTACTGAACACCACGACAGGCCTAGAGCTCTTATTATTTCTCCTGCTGTTCCTTCCAGCTGCTTGTTTGGAGGCAGGGCCAGATTATTTTTTTTTCCTATGTCTTGCTGAATTTACCATAGGACTCAAGAAGTGAACTTGCAATGATGGTAGGATTGCTTAGTGGATGAAAACAAGCCTGTAGAAAGGCTGTCTGTCTCCTTTTCAGCTACGGCTTGTGCAGTCATTCGCAAAAATTAGGGTCTTGTACATTTAGACACTGATATTGCCCTTAATGGTTGGGAAAGGTGCCCAGGTCTTAAGGAGTTGCAGCTCTAAGAATTTACTGTACCTGTACAGTGTGGGCTGTGGATAAATGTAGTCATCCTTGTCACATTTTATATTCTTCAAAGCAGATGATGAATCAAGCTTTGCATTAACGTGAGCTGGCATAAACCAGCTCAGCAGTCTGACCTGAAAAGGATTTGAAAGAGCTTGAAGAGAGGTGAACAATGAAGCCTTGACTGGGCAGTGGGAAGTCATTTATAATTTACTTCATTGCTACTAGGTGAACTGCTGCTGGCTTCCTTGCCAGCAGGAGGTTTCATTTTTTTAATTTGTCCTGCAGGGGAGTCAAAGTTATTGGGTGATTCATTCTGGCTCTTGCTGATTTATTTTGCGTTTAGGTATACGTATGTGTGTGAAATGTTATGTTTGTTATGTGTGCAGACAAGGTTCTTTGTGTAAATCTGCTATCTTTTATTAGACCAACTCAAATAGTTGGAAAAAATCTTGGCAAGCTTTTGGGTATAAATACCCTTCGTCAGGCTTGAGGAGGCATCTGCAGTTGGTGTGCTGTTCATTCCATCTAGGAAGAGCAAACACCAATTGCAGATGCTTCCTCAGCTTGATGAAGGGTATTTACACACAAAAGCTTGCCAAGAAGAATTTTTCCAACTTTTTGAGTTGGTCTAATAAAAGATAGCAGATTTACACAAAGAACCTTGTCTGCCTACCAGGGGTACAACCTTCCCCTGTACCTTGGAACATATTTATACACGTGTGCACTTACTGGGGGACAGAAATCTCTAACGGAGTACCTGCTTTTTCTGCCAGGTTCGTTATCTCTTGGAATTGATGGAAGAAGACTTAGAAGATGAAGAGGAAGCTGTCAGTACTGTGAAGTCAGAATTTTGTCATCCGCTGTGCCAATGTTCAAAATGCTGGCCAGCACAAAAGGTTGGAATATTCACCGCTGTGTGAGCAGAATCCCTGTTGTGTTCCTGTAGTTTAGTTTTCAGCCCAAGGGAAATAACACATCTGTTCTTCTGCCCAGCTGTATCTCTGCTCACAGGAGACCTGCAATTAAAAGTGTGCAGACTTGATGGAGTTCATGACCTCACAAGATTAAACTGCTCTCTTTGTTGATCAGGCTGTGGAGAGGACTGGGGTAAAAGAGTACACACAAGCTCATTTTACCCTCTATATGAAAATCTCAGTATTTTGGATTTTCTATTTTGTTCCCCTTTTTGCATTGTTTTTGCCCAGGTGATGGAGCCTGTACTTTTGGTATTAAGCAGGTTGGATAAGTAAGGATAAGGAAAAGTTCTGTTGTAAGCCTCCTAGTTTTTTCCTTCAGCCTCTAGCTCAGTGGTGCTCAACCCACAGCCTCACGAGCAAGATCCAGCCCCCAAAATGGTTGTATCCATCGACAGCAAGCAGCTCAGCCCAGCATATCCTCTTCCCTACCATGCACTATGTCACTGACTCCCTCCACAGCCCTCCTTGCTCGCTCCCTCCCAGGAGCTGCTTCCTCTCTTCTTCCCACCTCCTCTGTGGCAGGCACAGCTTACTGCCATACTGCCTCTGAACTTTGGCAGCCACCTCCATCTCTTCATTCACCACTTCCCTATCAAAGGGTAGTGGTGGCCTGTAGTGCAGTCAGGTCATAAGCATCTTGCTTGCAGCTCGAGAAGATTGAGCACCACTGTTCAAGCTACTCTAGGCCTCCCCAGTTTCTGTACTGCTCTGGGACCCCCTGATAACCAGCTCCCTCTCAACCCTTAGACTGTCTCTCTCCTGTAATCAGACTAACAGGAAATCTGTCCACCTAGGCTAAGTATAGACAGTCAAAAAGCCCAAGGCTGAATAGATTCAGTCTTTGCAAGTTGGTCTAAGCTGCAGAAATTAAATTGAGAAACAACTGGACAGACACTTACTTTTGATTCAGGAAATGCTGCCACATTCCTGCAGTGGCTCAGGCCAGAATCTGGGGGGTGCTAAAGCACAGTTCTTTGGCACATAGCTAGCATGGGCTTTGTGTTCGCTGCTTCTTCCTGCTGTGCTTGAGGTCTCTGGGATTTGTAGTCCAGAATCACAGCAGTAAGACTTTGCAGTATTGCTCATCACTTTCTCTTCTTGCTTCCAGGTGCCTCTAGGATTTGTAGTCCAGCCATCAGTAAGTTTAGCAGGGCAGGCTAGCTCTGTACTCAGGGGTAGGGCATATTTAACTCCCCTCCCTGGCCCCAGGCCCCAGACCCCAGCTGGGGTTTGCCTGGGAGGGGCAGTCCCTCCCTCCCCCAACCCTTCTGTGCTGGAGCAGTTGGCCCAGAGCAGCCCAGGGCTGGAAATCATTCTGGGGGACTGTGATTTAATTTGAACCAGGAAGGGGTCTGGGACAGAAGTTTCATAAACTGGTTTGACCCAAATCAGTTAAGTCTGATACTGCATTCAACCAGGTTTATCTTAAATCAGTTTCAGCCATTTTGAAACTGGTTTATGTGCATTGAACTTCTGTTCTACTACAGGTTTAAATCAGTTTCTGATGAGGTAAACCGGTTTATGTGTAACTTCTGTCCCTAGCTCTAGTGATTAGTACAAGGCTGAGAAGATCATTTTAACTTGTACAGCATCTTTCATACAAACTGAATCTAGAACCACCTCAGACTTAAATAAAGATACATGTTCTGGCACCGTTGATTTGTTTCATTGCATGAAAAATGTGTAGCCTGTTGCTCTGCCCATTGATCCTGCAGGACAATGGGCAATGTATTTGCTGCTTGCAGAGGCATGTCCAGAGATTCCCTGAGGTGTCTAAGCAGAGAAATTTGGGTTCCCTGGTTGTTGAGACATGCCTTAGGGAATCTCTGGGGTGCATCTCTGTAAGCAGGGAAAGCTGGGGTTCCTCACTGGCAGACATGCTCTGGTGATTCCCTGTGCAGGAATTCCTGGGGCACACAGGAATGGGCCCCTCTAGCCCTGGGAGCACCTGCTGGGGATGGCTGCAGAGCACAACCAACTCCAGGCTGCCCATACTCTCTCCTGCCATAAAGCTAATAGATGTCCGCTGCATAAAGCAGCAGAAAATATTAGCACCTTTTGTCATGGCCACAAATTTGGGAACTTGTGGTGTGACAAATGGTATAGACGTCTGTTTGCTTTGCCTTTGTGTCTCCATAATAAATTGCTATGACAGTACAAAAGTGACATCTGTCTCCATTCTGTGAGAGCAGAACAGGGTAGATCTGTAGAATGCTAACAAGGAAGAAGGTGCTGTAACATCTGTTAGCAGGCACTGTATTCATTTCCAGGCAGGTGCATTCATATTTAGACTAACTCATTCAGAGGCGTACGTGTTTGTAAATGACATCCTGCTTCATCAGATGCTATGAATTGTATGTGTGTAAAACCAAGTTGAAATATAATATTAACTCCTACCTTCCATATCCAGTAGAATCCCTGTAGAACTAACAACTATGTGGGTCTGATCTATTTAGTAGCATCACTGAACTAAAAAGGTTTTCAGCCCCTACTAATTATGGATTTTTTTAAATTTTCTGCACTTTCTCTGTAGCAATCTATCTTGTAGGAGGGAGAGAAAAATAAGACAACTTTCACTTTCACCAGTTCCACCAAACTACCCTCATATCTTACGGAGGACCTTGAATGAGACTCCTTGGACAATATTGTTTATGTCCCTATGTTGGTTGCATATATACCCTGTAGATATCTAATGGTGGATTCATAGAAAAGTAGGACTGGAAGGGACCTCAGGAAGTCATTTATCCCAACCCTCTGCTTAAACCATCCTAGACAAGTGTTTGTGTAAATTGCTTTTAAAGACTGCTGAGCATGGTGGAAGTGGTATGCTCAGTTGTCCATGACTTTTATTTTTTCTCACAACAGACACTTGCCAGGATGCGTGCTAATGGACTTGGCATAAATGTTTCAAACCAGGATGGCTTTACACCATTACATGTGGCTGCACTGCACGGACATCCAGAATTGGTCTCCCTTTTGTTGAAGCACGGTGCCAGTGTCGGTGCTAGAAATATAAACCATGCAGTCCCTCTTCATCTGGCCTGTCAGAGAGGTCATTTTCAGGTAATTTTTTTTGTATAGCCGCAGGTGCAGTAGCTAGACTTTAATGGGGCATGGGTGGTTCATCAATCCTTAGGTAGGCAAGATGTGAAAAAGGGGAGGGGGGTGAGAGTGAGAAATAGGAACATCCAGGAAGTGGGAGAGAGCTTGGAGTAGCAGAGGCCAGAGGTTAAAGAATGGGACTTTCTGGTATAGTCTGCTATGGAGCTGCTTTATGCTGTACAAAGAAGATGGGCAGAGTGAGGATCTCTTCCTGCTTGGATTTGGGCAAGGCCTTGACATAGCAGACATCTTTGTTTTGAAGAGAGGAGGCAGAGAATTAGACCAAATAGGGGTTTGACTCCTTATGTTGGATTGAATAACATAGCATGAAAGGGCTCCATGAAGTCCTAGAAATGATGAGAGTATCCTTCCTAAACATTAAATGATATGCAGGTTCCTGTATTTCCTCCTAAATCCAAAAGGGTGGCAAGTATTGAAGGACATTGTAGCATCTAGTGGCTCTGCCACCAAGCCTGTCATTTTCAGGTGTCAAGAACGGAAAAAGAATGTAGTTCAAACTATTGTCACTTTACTATACCTCCAGTGCAAACGAGTTACTGCTTCCCTTTACTGCATGACTTCAGACCTGTGCTTACAACACACTCAAGAAAATCAGAAGTACAGTTTTCCTGTTTGCATGCATCACTCCTATAATGTTGAAAACACGCACACAATTTTAAAAGATATGGATATATGCAGTCTTGTCTTATGTACACATATTCACTTTGTATGTTTCTACGAAGGGTGGAAACATCAACTACAGATTCTTCGAGGAGGTTACTGATCTGAATGCATGAGGCCAGATAGTTCTAATTAACTTACAGGGCCCCAGTGGGAGTTTTGCCATTGACTGCTAATGGGCTTATGGTCAAAACTGATAGACTGTTTTGATTTGTCATTTGCCAGTCAACAGTGTAAACTAGGTACTCTGGAGTAAAGGAACTAATACAATAACCTGTTACACTAATCTGCCATTTCCATTTTTGCATCCCCAAACTACTCTGATACACTTTCAAACTTACCTTGTGAAGTATAGCTAATGCAAAGATCTAATGGTGAGGAATATTTTTAACATTTAAGATGCTGGTTGCTTATTTTAAAATGGCTTGTGCTTCAGCAGTTTAAAGCTTCCATCTGCAGATAGAAGGACGCTTCTCATTCCAGGACAGACTTGACCATAAATTAAGCATTTTAAGGGTCCTACTAGATTGAAAAGTATTTAGTGTTATGATTAGTCTCCTTGCTTAGACACTGTTCCAACAGCCATGCAGTAGAGTAGAAGTTCAGTATACTGTATTTACTCAAATCCAAGATAAGGTGTTTTTCCCCAGTCAGCTTGTGGCAGCTAAGCTCTGGTTTGGCTCCAGGCTTGGGGCCAAAGCTGGAGTTGATTGAGCTGTCACCTGCCCCAGGTCACAGTAGCTCATGCGATAGCGTAGGGGATTTGTGGCAAGGGGACTATGAGGGAAATGGTGTGGGGGAGACGCATGTTGGGAGAGGGCATGTGGGGAGATCTACGTTTGCGGTGGGGAGCACGTCGGGGAGATCATGCAGCCTGCACCTCCGCCAGTTACCTGGGCTTTGGCTCCAGCTCTGCCCTGACCCAGCCAGGCCTGGAGCTGCTGCCGCTGTTTCTGCCTGGCCTGGCTGGGCTGGGTTGGACCAGGGCTGGGGACTTTCTCTGCCAGTGTCACCCCAAAGTTAAGGGGGGGGGTTCAGAGAGGGGAACAGGCAGCAGAGGGGCAGCAATGTGCTGGAGCAGGCTTGAGGAAGGTGGCAAGGGGTGAATTGGTGGGTAGGGGAGCACATGGTGGGTAGACAAGGGTAAAGAGGTGGGGAGAGTAGTTGCTGATAGGGTACAAGTAGCAGAGGGAACAGGCAGCAGGGGGAAAGTACTGGCACAGGTGGCAAGGGGTGGGGAGCAGGCAGCAGGAGAGGCAAGGGAGATGGGCATGGTCATGTGCGGGGCAGGCAAGGGGCAGGCCCCCTTCCTGCTATCCATACTACAGCAGTGGGGGGATGAATTTTAAGATGACAGCCAAATAATTAGGTTTTATACATGGAAAATTTATAATAAAGTTATTATTTTCCATGTATAGAATGTAATTATTGGAGGCTTGTCTTAAATTCAAAGCTGTCCTGGATTTGGTTAAATATGGTAGTTCAGGTGATTTAATAGATTCTAAACTCTTCTGAGAAGAGATTGTCTTCCTATATGTTGGTGTAGCACTCTTGCACTTCTGTATACGCCTCCTAATTGATCTTTTAGCTTAACAGTTTGCCTTCAATGAAAAAGCAAGCTTTTGTGCAGTATATCGCTTTGAACAGACACTTAATCATCCATCTCTTAGAAAACAGTGTACCACTCTAAATATGAACTCTGGTCAATATAATATTTTTCCTGTGTTTTTTAAATGTCTTTACTAATGGGCTGAATTCTGCTGTGGCCAAACAAACAAAGCAGTTATCTTCATGGGTCAGTGCTGACCATTTATATTTCATCCTCCAAAAAGAACCAGGCTGCTTTGTGGAATAGGCTGTTGAGGATAAAGCTGGTACAGGCAAAAAGGAGGTTTGGGTTTTTTACATCCTAACACCAGAAAATTCTCCAGAGAGAGAGAAGATTCCTGCCAGGCTGCACTCACCGTATGCACTGAAACTGTTCCTATCTAATCTTTCTCTATATCTTAATGGCCTGAAATTATTGTACAATATAAGTGCTGGCTGTAATGGAAGCATCTTACATCGAACACGTAATGAATATCTTGAGCACCTGGAAATTCATACATATTTTTATTTGGTTTAGACCATTTTCAACCCACATTTAAAAGCTTGTGTAATGTTTAAAGATTTTTTAAAAGTAAAACTTTAATAGCTGACTGCTGGCAGCAGAATTCCTACTAACAGACCTTATGCAAATAGCCCTGCTAAGAGCAAGAATGACTGCTTTTAATTAGGCTCTTGTAGGGTTTCCTCTCTTCTGCTTCAGTGACAGACTTAGTCTCCCTTGTGGTTACATTGTCATACATTGGGTCATTTAAAAATGTTTAGGTTTTTAAAGCCTGTTTGTGCTGTGCTTAGTTCTTTTCTGAGATTGTGGAGTCACTGAGCTGCTTTCACATGGTGCTGCATTTTTAGACACTTGAGTTTATTATAATGCTGATCCAGGGACTGACCCTGCTTCCCTTTCCATAATTTTAATTGCATGGACCCATCTGATCCAGCAGCATCCGTTTGCTTGACTCTCTTTAATGGTTGGTTTGGATTCCCGTGCACCCCTCACATAGCTTTTCCTTTCATAGTCTGAGTTCATATAAGCCTGTACACGCAAACATATATTCCTTTGCTGTTGGTACGGAGTACTATGTGCTTCAACTCATTGAAATGTGCAGGCCAAGCAGATTCATCTGGTCTCCTTAAAGCTCTCTGAGTGGCTTACCGCATCTTCTTGGATGCAGGTTGAACAAGTCACATAAGTAGCACTGAAAGAGAAGAGGGATCTAGTGGCAGCATTGAACAGTCACTGTAGTGAGTGGGGGAAAGGGAAGATACCATATGTGGGACAGCAGGTGAAGAGCAGGGTTGAGAAATTTGGAAGAAGAAAAAAAATGGAAAATATGGATTGTGGAGAGAAGGAAGAGAAAAGCTAAAAAGAAGAGAGAGAGGAAACATCAAAGAAAATGTGAAAAGGGGAAAACAGAACACAGGATATCACAGTTCCTAGGTCCATAAGTGATAGTTCTGAGTGGTTTTAAGTTGCATGCTTCTTTCCTGTCATATATCCTATGACCCTTAATGTATTAAGACAGTGGTGCTCAACTTTTTGGCTCCACAGGCCAGATGAGTGGTGCTGGGCTGGTCCTCATGCTAGGATCGGGCCCAGTGCTGCCTTCTCTCAACTCTGCATGCCTGAATTGGGCCCTGCATGGCTTTGGCTGGCTCCCATGCACTGGGATGGAATCCTGGGGCCTTGCACCACCTAGCACCATGTGTTGGGATCGGGCCATGGGGCCCTGCATGCTGGGATTGGTCACTGTGCTGTCTCCACCCAGCCACATCCACCAGGATCTGCCCTGGGGGCCCTGCTGCCCCCATCCAGCCCTATGAAATGGGGTTAGGCCCCACGATCCCTTGTGTACCTAATCCAGCCTGCAGGACCATGCCATCTGTCCCACGGGCCTCCCCATGAGTCTGGTAACTTGGCAACAGGGCAGCAGTGCCACCATTCCCCACCTCCAAATCTTCGAATCAGGAGGGACAGCTGGGTGGGCCAGATGACATAGTACAGGGGCTGGATCTGGCTAGCTGGTGGGGGTTGAGCACCCCTGCTCTAAACTTGTTTAAAAACCAAAGGAACCACGCATTATTCTTCCTTTAGGCACTTGAAATAAGTAACCCTCCTGTCAGGGGACACTTATACTAAAATTACTTCATTTGCTATCCTTTCTCATTCTCCATTATCTCAGTTTCTGAAAAGGCTAATTCGTACCCTCTCCCAAAACTGCCATTTGAAAAAGTTAGCCCATGTGATAACTTTGGACACTAGTCACAATCAGTCCTTAGGTTGTCTGCATAAACCTAGATTGTCTTTAAACCAACTGGGCACAAATGGGAACAAACAAAATGAGGTGCACAAGGTCAAAGGATCCAGATTCTGAATTGCTCCCAGTTTGCATCTACCTCTTGCACTAAACTACTGGTTCTGGGTATCAGAAATATTCAGCACTGATTTGTGCTATCATAAAATGTATACTACTGCAAGTGCCATTAATAGTGAATTAAGTGTACTTGTTCTGTAACTATGGCTTAGGTTTGTTAGTGTTTTAAACATGAACTTCTTATCTCTTCCAAAAGGTAGTACAATGCCTGATGGACTATGATGCTAAACAAAATAAAAAAGATATACTTGGAAATACTCCTTTAATTTATGCCTGTTTGAATGGCCAGCATGAGACTGCTGCCTTGTTGTTACAGGTGAGATTGCGTCCAAAAATGTTGTAAATAGTTTTTTTTGTGATATTAAGGTAGAATATGTCATGTTATAGTTTTAAATGCAAAACATTAGTATTCATATTCTTATTAAAGAGTTTTTCCTTTAAAACTGCTGTAAAGAAAATTACGAACATTTCTTCCTTCCTCCTACACTTTAAACCCATCCCCTGGGGCACTTTGTTGAGAGAAACATTTCTATAATGTTACTGAAGGTAACACTTTTCTTACAGGATTGATTATATAGGAAAGGTATTTTCTTTTAAGAAATCTTTGACGTGCTTCACGTATCCTCGTGTGCACTGTGATACCGAGCAGATGTATATATGCAAAGGGAGATGAAGTAATCCATGAAATAGGATAGTGTATCATTGTTCAAAGGCTTATGGCTGTTGAACTGATGATTGCACTAATCCACACTTTCCAGATTCCCTATAGCTGAAAGATTTCTGATTCTTGTTTTCAGTCTTTATGTAAAACTGTAGAGACAAACAGAATGATTATGTGCTGCCTCCAGTTTCTGCTACGTTGTGTTAATAGCATTTTATTTTATTTTTTATTCCAGCATGGGGCCTCTGTTAACCTTTTTAATACCAAGGGAAATACAGCACTGCATGAGGCTGTGATAGGAAGGCACAAAGCATTGGTAGAGCTGCTTCTTCAGAATGGTGCATTGACCCATATTAGGAACAAAAGACAGTGTACTCCTGTAGACTGTGCTGAGCCAGTAAGTACAAAAGTTTGCTTGTTCCTACCCATTGGGTTTCTTAGGAGAAAATGAAAACATAGGATCGTCACAGCACCATTTCCAGTCACTCCTAAGGCAAGATATTCCTATCTTTAACAACTAGATAACGTGTAAAAGTTATTCCAATTGCCTATCCATATAATAGTAAGCAATTATGTTTGACACTTATTTTAAAAGCTGCTATGGGTCCATCTATAGCAGGGGTGTCACACCTATGGCCTGTGGACCAGATCTGTCTGGCAGGCGCACGTTGTTGTATGTCCATGGGTCTGGTTTAAATGGCAGGCATCTGGGGCATTGGGAATGCATGTCGGCAGTGGCCGGAAGTGGGGCGTCAGGACAAGGCAAGCAATAGCTGCATAAACACCACTGCTTCTACCTTCTTTCTTTAAAATCCTTCCTTAAAACCCACTTCATCCAGGAAGTCTTCCTATGCTAGTGATCTCCTTCCATTCTTCCTGACTTGAATTGAGATTGGTTTCCCATTTAGGTGAATATCATACCAATATCTCTTCAGAAATCCTAAGTGACTACAGTTGTTTGAAAAGAAAAAAAGGTGGGAGAGGGAACATTTTAAAAAATTAAAAAGCAACAGTCCTTATCAGGAACTGTCGTTACCCTGGGAGTAGCCATGCTCTGGGGTAGAGGAATTGAGGACATTGTCCTTGCCAGCTATAGCACTTTGGGAATCTAACATCACTGCACATTTCATCGTCTTTCTCCTTAAGTAATGCTCAAGATACCCATATACAACTGGACTGTTCTTATTAGCTGGGTACGGTGGGAAACCCACATAAATAATGCCTAGTTAAATACACAGATCTGACCTTCCCATTAATAACTACTTGCTCTACAATATTAAATTATAAGGGATTATTGCACTTCTCCAGCGATTAGACACTGCTTTCAGTTTTGTGCCCCTGGGGAATATGATAATGGCCATAAAGTGTGCTTCTGCCTGGATCTTATTACTGACATTTTTGTTTATTGATGTTAGAGTAACATAAATAACAGCTTAAATAGCACTTTATACTTTCCCTGACCTGTCAGCTTTTCCAAAATACTGAACAGTTTAATGATAGAGCTTCTGTGGAGGACAGGTGTAAGCCTCCAGCTCAGTGGAGGTTGTGGAACAATGCATGCATTCTGCTTCTGTTCAAACTTGCGACTGAAATGCTAATATAATTTTAGGCTTGTATTTATCCCAGCGTGTCTGACTGTAGGTTATAATTTTTTTACTAAAAGTGATTACCCTAGACTGTCTGCATTGATTACTGGAACCACTAATCTGTACAAAGGCTGGATATTATAAAAGTGGTGAAAAATAAAAACTTTTTTAAAATTAAGAATTCCAGTATCCTGAAGTTGCTACAAGCAACACCAAGCAATGCACCAGAATCAGCAGAGGGAGGAGAAATAGACAGTGAGCAGCATATAACTGGCAAGATCAGGAAAAAAGGTAAATGTCACAGTTTCACTGGTACAAAGAGAGAAAAGGTTTGGGAATTAATTGTTGCACTAGATCCAATATTGTGGGGTTATGGGTCTTTTTTAAAATTAAGGTACACGTAGCTGTTTCACATGCGTATTACAAGTAACACCTAAAATTGTGCTGACTGAGAAACATAGGAAGAGGGAAAGTTTAAAAGAAACAAACAACTTTACCTTGTTTAAAGTTCATATCTGCTTTTGCATACTTGGTACTGTATTTTATTGCATAAAATGCACCCCTGAATATAATACACATACTGTTTTTTTAAAACGTACCATGAAGAAAATACTTACCTTGGGTAGCAGTAACCAGGGAGCCAAGCCTATATTTCTGAGCCTGGTGCAGCCCCATGTGTCAAAGGGCCCCTGGACTGATCCAGCACATTGTGTCTGGGGCTGCCTGCCATTTTATCGTGGGACAAAATGTGGTTGTTCAGAAGTCAGTGTCTGTTGTCCCAGGATAAATTCTAAAATGGTTCGTGGGATAAGAAATAGTAACAGTTTTAACTTATTTAATGGATAAACAAATTCCAGTGTTGATTTTTAAAGACCTGCTTTTCAGTCTCCAAAATATCATAACTCTGTTGCCATATAAGTACAACTTAAAACATTTTTAGAAAGGTATTAATAAAATTGAATTAAAATTTAATGGGTTTCATGAATTGCATTTGTGATCCTTACCCTATGCATAGCTTACATTGTGTGAAAAAACTTAATGAATTATCTTTTCCATCACTGCTTACAGTTTGCTTCTATCATGTGTATATCCAAAGTTATTAAAGTTTAACATTGCACAAGGACTTTATAAACACCCTGTATTTTGTAGGTTACCAGAAGAGCAAAATTTAGAGCAATATCTTTGTGCTAATGGCAGAAATGTTACTTTCAGGGAAGATTATGGTTGTTTCCCAAGGCAGTAAAAGAGATTACTAATGAAATTAACAGGTGAGGCAATGTGATGGTAGCTCAACTGATTCTGGTTGGTGGTTTACTCCTGACTGGTGAACATTTAAATTAAAGTCCTTGAACTCAGGAATTATTTTTACTTAGTTAAGAAAATCCCCTACTAAAGCTGCGACAGTCCTGATCAGAGCTATCTTTCTTTTTACAACATAGTGATTTACAGTTTCCAAACCAAAGAAAATATTACTCTGGTTCAGATCTTTCCAATTATAGTTCTAATATGATTTTAAAATAAATTTCAATTCGTCAATTTTTTAATTCAAAACTCTGCTTGTTTGATGCTAAAATATGGTTCAAATTTAATTTTGACCTTTTTTGTTTTAAACCTGTAGTAAATACTAAGCCATTTGAGAAAGCAGATGATCCAGTCAGCAGACGAATTCAACTTGTCCAATCAATCAACAGATTTAACAAGTAAGCATAGAACCCTTGTTGGAAGTACCCTGGGTGATACTTCCCAACAAATACACATGACTCTTCAAAGAAGAAAATGGATTAGGTGTTTATCACAACCTGGATAAGCCCAGCTTTGGGGTTTGGCCATACATCTCCCATTCATTGCAATGTGTAGCCAAATACGTTTTGAAAATCTCATTCAAGATGTACTTCATAATACCATCTGAGAATTCTGATAATGATGATACTTAGATGTTAGTCTGCCATTTTCACTTAAACACTAATGTACATAATCTGACAGAAACTGTTTTTATCCCCACAATATAGTAGGCCATACATTTTTAAAAGGCACATGAAACAGATATTTGAGTCTCAATTGTTGTTGAAATGTTGCCATCTGGTGGCTGGTCACTGTGCAAGGCAGCTTAGCAGAGACTCTTGATGAGGGTGTGTCGCTTTGTAGTTCACAATGATCCTTTTTGTGTGTTTCAGATCAAAATATTTGCGGAGAACAATAACAAGAGACAAAAGCGTCCCTAATTTTGATGATGAATTATTGCACCAGGTAGGAAGAATGGCTCTCTTGCATTAGCTGTATTATTATTTTTTTATATTGGATATTAAAATATACTGAACGAAGCTTCTAAGTCAGGTGGGCAAAATCCAGCCTGTGGAGAGATTTTTCATGGCCTGCAGTGGGTCCCTTGGTCCCACCCAGGCCAAGTGCAAGGGGCAGCCTGGGCTGTGGTGCATGAGGCCAGTCCTATCGGCCACGGAGTGCAGCGGGGCTGGGCTGGGCTGGGCAGGGCTGGGGTAGTGTGGTGGTCAGACTATTTCCCGGCAGCAGCGGTGCCTTCTGGCTGCTTCTGCCGGACCCAGCCCTGCTGCCTGGGCACCTTGGCCCATCCGCCCTGGGCCCACCACTAGGGGTGGGACCCACTTGGGCAGGGCCTCTGGCTGGGTGGCTAGGATAGGTCCACAGGCTGCTGGGCTGCAGTTTCTAGGAGCAAGACAGGCAGGTGGGGCTTGGGAGACCCCAGGATCTTGGGGCAGTGACATGCGAGGCTGGGACCCAGGGCAGAGCTGCGATCTGCAATTCACACCCCTGTGATGGGCATGGGTTCTGCAGGCAGAACCCATGCAGGGAGCAGGGAGCAGATCACAGCTCTGCCCTGGGCCCAGCCCTGCACTGTCACCACCCCAAGATCCTGGCCCCAGATGCAGCTCCCATCCTGGCCATGTGCCTTGCCTGTGTCTTCCAACCAGTCTCCATGGAGACCCTGGGATCATGGGGCTGTGACACCGTGGGGTTGGGGCCAGGGCACAGTCCCAGTTCTGCAGGCAGGAACATGTGGGGAGAGCATTGCACCTCTGCTCTGGCCCTGCGCTGTCAATGCCCTGAGATCCTGGGGTTTCCATGGAGATGGGCCAGAAGCTGCATGGGTGGGCAGGGAGCTGCATCCAAGGCCAGGGCCAGGATCTTGGGGCATTGACAGCACAGGGCCGAGGCAGAGCTGCAATCCCTGATCCACTCCCTGCATCCCCCTGCCTGCGGAACCCATGCCCGTTGTAGGGGCATGTGGGGGGATTGTGGCTCTGCCCCAGCCCCGGGCTGTCGGCACCCCCTGCCGTGTGATCCCGGCCTTGCCTGCCTGTCCCACTCCTGAACGCCGCTTCCCACCCGCAACCCCATCCCACATAGGGAGTTTTGGTAAGCTGTTCGCGCAGTGGGGGGGTGGGAGGGTGGTACTGATCCAGCCTGCAACAACTCAGCAAAATTCCCTATATGACCCACCGGCCCAAATAATTGCCCCCTTATGTCTTAAGTAGTGATGGATGATGCAGGTCAAAAAGAGAGACCAGCTTTGATAAGCCTCCAGAGTTTGGAGGGATGGGCTTCTGAATATGTGTTCCAGGTAAAAGTTGCTTTTGCATTATAAGCACTAAATTGTACATTTCTAGGAAGCAGTTGTTTGCCATTTGATTGGTGAACTAGATGCCAGGACTCCTAAAATCTATCCCATTTGTGCCATTGAATTTCTGCAGTGACTTGGGCAAGCCACTTTATCTGTGATTGAATCCTCTGCCACTTTTTAAGGTTTTGTTTCCGTTGTTTCAGTAATGGGGATCAGAAATAAGCACTGGTTTGTGTTCTGCATCTGGACTCTATATTTTAATCACTTTAACATTTGGGAAGTGTCCAGTCTTCCAGTAGAATCACCCAGGAGAATCACTCTGATAAACAAAAGAGGAGGAAGAGCAGGTTTGAGAAGATGAAATAAAAATAATCAAAGAGGAAGTGACCCAAATAGCGAGGTCTTGGGAATAAATATAGAAAGTCTGGCCTAGCATACAAAATCCAAGAAGCAAAAGGGCTCTTTCTCCAGACCCAAAGTGGGAGTAGAGACAATCTGACTCATTTCAGCTGTCTTGGAAGGGTACAGACACCAATACTTGCGGTAGATATACCTCAGATATAACTTACAAAGGTATGTGAGAGGTGCTGTGGTCATGTGGACAACGCACTAATGGAGTCATGGGACGCCTTGGATTTATTCCTGGCTTTTGCCATGGTATGTGTAATCTCAGGCAAGTAAACTGTATTCCTGTTTCCTTGTATATGAATGGGGGTAATAATTATTGTGTTTTGTATGGCAATTTAAATCCTTGGCTATATGTCCTCAGTAGTATTTATTATACTGTAGTATCAAAACACCTTGAAATTAATCTTTTAGCACATATTTAAAATGGAATCATTTGACTTTTGTCAGGGAATCACAAAATGCCTTTAATATAGATTATTCTTCCCCTCCACACAGATGGCTATTAAGAACTTTGATAAAACCAAGTTAAAACCTGTTGAAACACTGAAACAGAGCAGAGCTAAGACGACTGACGCAGAAAGCAGTGGTGAACCTGTGACAGATGATGATGCAATAGAAGCTCCTCTTAAAAGTAAACTAATGCATCGAAGACACACTGTTAATGTGGCACTTTCAGCAGAGGATGTCAGTGAAAATAGCGATTTAACCAGTCCTAGAGATCCAAGTATTTCACAGTCAAAAGACTGCTTTGATGACTTCCTTTCAAAACACTGACAAGAAGTGTGAATTTCCTGCCAAAAACAGGAAAACCAGGTGGTGTCAGTATCAATATCCTCTTGCTGGGAATTAAAGAAGTAAATGAAGCTTGCAAGCTATGCTTTCAAAAATGGATCAGAAGGCTAAATCTTTAGCAGAGACAGAATGTTCTTGGCTTGCATTTTTGGAGATTGAATCCTCTCAGTTTATTATGAAGGTGCCTACCCAGCCAATGTGTTACTGATCTCGGCAAACTGAGACATATTGAGATGTCAAAGTATTTAGACAGAAAAATGACTCCCAATTCTACTATCAAAGCACTTATTAAAAATGATTACAGTAAAGAAGAAAAAGGCTATACAGTAATTCCCAGCCAACCACTCTTGTATTATAAAGCATTGAATTAGTTTTTCCTCTTTCTAATTTTGTCACTGAATTGGTTAAATTATATTTATTACCGGAAAGAATTAAAATTTTTTTATTTTTTACCATAATTCCACAAACCATGATGGTATGTATTTAAATATACTTTCTTTACTAACTACATCCTGGATGTTGCCACTAGTTGGAAAAACACGGCACTACAATCCTGTGCACTTCAACATGGCATAGAGATGTAGCCTTGAGGAACATAAAGGGCTAGAAGCCTGCAGTTTTTTATGATGTCAAAGCCCTTATTGGTTCCAATGGGACATTTATTTGGACTGGGTCTATGAAATCCTGTCACAACAGGGCTAGGATGCTGGGAACAAAGCAAGAAGACCTTGACAAAGATCAGCTCTGGATTAATATTCAGATCCCTATTCAAATGTTTCTCTAGGCAGAAACAAACCTGCATAATGCACAAAGCTACTTTAAATTTTAACAAGTAAATCAGACCAAAATGCATAACTATTCACCCTTCTGTGTGCATACAAGCCTACAGACATAGCCACTGTGTAAGAACTTGTTCCTGCCTGCCTGTACTTATATGTTAATGAATATTCCTTACTCAAGCAAGTAGACCCATTTAAATCAATGGGGCTAATTGTCCAATAAAGATACAACTCATGCAGGAATATGTTATCTGTATTTCAGAGGTGATCACTTTAAAGGATACTCACAGATAACTAGATGGAGGCTTAGATGTGGAACTTACTTCTTAACATGTTTCAGTTCAAAAATATTTTTTAAAAGGGGGTTATAACATAGAAATACTTGAATAAATATACCAGGTTCTTTACACGATCATTTTGGTTTACAGGTGATCACATCCAAGTAGCATTTTGTTTCTTTTTATAAACTATTTGTACGGACAAGTTTGGTTCTTTTTACTGTAATGTTGATGACCTGTTTGGGGCACCATGAAGCCAGAGGGCTTGCTAGAGGATTGTTTCCAAATAATTTTTTAATGTGAAAAGCAAAATGTGCAGCCTGTGCGCGCACAAGCGTTCGCAGATAAGGGTTGTGTGTATATTTTTCTAAGTAATTTATGAGTTCATCTAATTTTCTAATGTGCCTTGGATTTGTGCCAAATGATGGAAAAGAGAAACTAGTAAATAACGATTCTTGAAAATGCTCTTAGCTCTGACCGCTTATTTAAATTGCGACTCTTTTGCACTTATTTCTTGGATTTTTGTGCTTCAAGTGATCGCTTGGAATTGCTGCTTTTAGGTCAAGTGCCTCTGCACATTTCCTCCTTCCTCCATGCTTGCATCTTACTGAGCAGACAAAGGGCTGCGTATGAAGTTACAGAAACTTTTAATTTAAATGGGGTATTTCCTAGACCTAGATTGCTTTCTTCCATGCTTGTCATTCCCTCCCTGTCCAGTACTGTCCACTCTTTATCACAAGCTATAAATAACTTGTGATAAAAGGTTGATGTTCTGTGCTTAAGTTGTAGGTATAGGAGATGGGAGATTTGGTCCATGATCCTGGTCCCCATAACAGTATGAATGTGACCTAAGGCAAGTCGCATTTCTGGTTCTCAATGAAGAATGGAAAAAATTATCTACTTAACCAAGGCAGATTGCACAGCTAAATTGCTACAAAGTGCCTGGAGAGGTGTAAAATATCATTTGTAAATTTAAGATGTGGGTAAAGTTTATCTGAAGATGGATGGGATGGACTCTAAAATTGATTATGAGGACCAACTTCCATTTTTTAATTACAGCATTCACTTACCAAAGGAGAAACTGACTTTACAGCTTGGTAAAATGTTTTGACAATGTGGATGATTAAAAAAAATCAGTTCATTAGATCCTTTTAATAGTGATGGCATATTGCCACTGATTATACGCAGAGACATGGGGATGAAATAATCAAATAGAACATTGTCCGCACAATGGCACTGGTTCAAACAGAGCCAAGTCCATGTCATTATGGAGTTGTTTTACACCTATTATGTTGACTACCTCCGGAAAAAGTTTTGTTATGCTGTAAATAACAACTGCTCCATTGGGAGATGGAAATTTTAATCCCATTCCTTTCAGTCTTTTGGAGAAAAGTCAGAAGAAAGTGAGAGTGGCTATGAATTGCTGATTTAATTACCTGAAGCTTTTTAATTCTGTTAGGAAAGTAATTCTTCTAGGAAATATAACTTTTGAATGCAAGGAAAAATCAATTTTAAGATGCTTAACACTCCAAATGTATTTCTGTGCAACTGATGAAGCAGCTTGGGTAATAGTGTTTATTATAAAAACTCTCAGCCTTGAAAGGTATTAATAACCTTGTTGCAGTTGTTATATGTGACTGGTATAGATAATTTTAGTGTTAGTCTTTGCTGTTTCCAACTGTATCTAATTTACATGAGAAAATCTGCATCCCTCATCTGCATCCTCATCCCTTTGCATTAGGGATGCTACTGCAACTGCCTACATAAGAGAGCTTCTCAGAGGTTTTAGCAATCTTATATTATACTGAGTCTAATAGGGAGTTGCATACTTATTAATTTGCTTGGCAAGTAGCCTTGAGCCTGTATGCATCAGAGCTACTGAAGCACTTTGAGACGCAATGATCAAAGCTGAAATGATGAACATCAGCTTTCGAGCATTGATTAGGGTTTTTATTTTTAAAGAACTCCAAGCAGCAATCCTATGTACTCTGCCATCCATTATTAAACAGTGCCTAACATCCATCACAGCCCACACATCCCAATCACCAAACGAGCACTCACAAGCTCTTCAGCCTTCCCTCAGTGGGCTTGCAGCCTGGGCTGCCTATCTGAACCAGCCAAAGTGAATTCCACAGATGGGCCCTCCCTCCAAAAATGTTCTCCCCATACGGATGACACTTGGTGTCTCTACTGTATGGCTGTCCACAACACAGAGCAGCAGTCCTTCAGGTAAATGGGCTCCAGACTCTTTTTTGTAAAACCCATCTATTTTTTTTTCCAGCTTAAAATGATGGCTTCCCTGTCAGATGGATTAATGAAGTGCTAGGGGTACCTATACATGTACACTGAGGCTGCTTAACACATCAGAGCAGCTTTGATTAATCAAGCCTGCTGGAGTGTGATAATTATTGTGCTCCAGCAGACTCCAGTGGTAATGGGGGTGCTTTAACTAAAGCTTGCTCAATGAGCTTTAAAGCAACCCCACTGCCATTTTTCAGTGCAGGGACGCTTACACACTTGATGCCCCAGGTGGTTTAGCTGGAGTGGCTCTGAGTCACCCTCCACCTCCCAAAGCTTGTGTATAAATGGCCTACATAGCCAACTCTTACAACCTAGTACAAAAGGTCCTCCTTGATTGAAATAAGTTAATTTAGAAGGTGCAGGAACCTAAAATGTGTCTAAAGGCTGTTTTTGTTTTTTTTTTAAATCAGTATTACTGCACCTAACCAGAAGGAAGGAGGGCATAGGGAACTGATTGAGAAAGAAATAAACAGGTACCAGGTAACTCAAATGATGTCAGTTGCTCTAGAACAGGGGTAGGCACCTCCTGGCACCTGTGCCTAATTAGTGGTATGTGGAGACATTTTTGTCAGCATGCCAGGTGGTGTGTGAGGAAATTTGTTTTAAAATTTATTTTTTAAGTTGCTGCTCTGGGCTCTCTGTCCCCTACCGCAGCCCAAATCTGCGGAGCCCCAGGGCAGCCCCCGATCCTTGCCGGCCCCATTCTCCTCTGGCTGTTGCCTTCCCAAGGGCCTGGCTAGGCTGGCCTGCCCACAGTGCTTTCCCCTGCACTGCCCAGACCCTGCCCCAAACGCCTGGCCCCAGTGCAACAGGGTGTCTGTCTGCCTGAGTCCCAGCCCAGCCCAGCCCACCACCCTCCCAGCCCTGGACCCAGGCTCTCTCCAGTCTGGGACCATTGGGGAGGCTTGAGCGCCCCAGCTGCTGAAGTGTCACTGCCTCCATCCAGCCAGATGCTGCCCTGGACCCACTGGCCTGAGCCACAGCCGGTAGCAATGAGAGACCTGAGCAGTGATGAATACACGCACGTTCTCTTTTTTTTCCTCTCTTTCGCGCTCTACCCTTTTTTTCTCTTTCTCCTTCCCCTGCTCCCTCTCATCACAACATGCTTAACAAAAAAAAAAAAAAATACATAGGAACAAAAGCAGTAAATGAAGTTTTATTTATTGTTACCAGGTTTAGAGGTTTTAGAAAACCTGGTATTTACTGTATATATTAAAAAAAAAAAAAAAAAAAAAGCAAAGCCAAAAAGCAACATTTATGATTATTACCTATATTAATATGCAGTACAACCTGCCATGTGCCTCCCACCCTGGTTTTGTTTTTATGGCATGCTGGCACCTTACAAGGGAGACAGCGTGGTTTTTTTAGCACTCCAGTCAAAAACATTGCTTACCTGCTCTAAAAGATGTAAAAGGGCCACTGTGTGTTAAATGAGTCTTAGTTTGAGTTATGCATTTATCCTGATATGAGTATACCCAAGTCCTTTTTAATATAAATATGCTTGCATGCTGAGAGCTTAATACAGACTATGATATCCCAGTCACTCTAGCTATGATAGCCTACATTTTGATGGGAACATAAGCAATTTTCAAATAAACTTGCATTGTTTTCTTGTTATTTTATAACTTGCACAATTAGCATATAAAACCGTCGATGCAGAAATAAACATCAGAGCAGTGCATATAATTCATCTCTGTGATGGCTCCAAACCAAGCCAAGTTGGTTGTTTTTAGTAAAAATAATTTGCATTTCCTATTCCCAGGTAAGATTTTTTTTAATTAAACATGAAGCTTTCTAGCTGGCATTCAGATTCTAGTTTAAAGCCAATGAATAAGCAGTTGGGATATACAGCCCAACAATCAGGTCAATGCAAAGGTGGTTTGTACAGAAGAGCTGGAGAACACAACAGCATTTATCATAGGTTGTCAAGGGGACCTTTCTTGCCAATGTATAGTGCTGTCACAAGTCTCCAAGCTGTATAAGGTTTTTTCTGGTATTATGATGATTGGTCTCCAGCAGAAGTGGGCAAACCACAGCTCACAGCAGGGATGGAGGGGTCACTTCCACTCCGGGTTGCTCAGTGTCCTGCCCTGCTCCCCCTTGAACTGTGGAGGATGGGATGTGGCTCCCAGGGTGAGTAACTTTGGCCACCCCTGGTCTACAGCAACAAAAGCAAGCTTTTTTACTGCACAAACTAGTGCCTCTGAAAGGCCACAAATACATATAGATTTCTAACCATCAGGAGTGAGGTTCTGGAACAGCCTTCCAACAAGAACAGTAGCAGCAAAAAACTCATTTTAAGATGGAACTTGAGAAATTTATGAATGGGATTATATAAAATGGTTGTATGCAGGAGCAGGAACTGGATTAACTGGTGCAAGAGGTCCCTTCCAGTTCTATATATTTCCAAGGAAAATATCTGTAAACAAACAGGCCTTTATATTTGCATAAAACTACATCTGTTTGTCAACATAAACATTTGTATGCAAAGTGTTGTCAAAGCTCAGAATAAATACCCTTGTAGAAACGGCCAGCACTACAGCCCACAGTCATGGTACCATTGAAGACAGGGAAGTTACTGGATACTACAGACTTCACAAGTTTAAAGGGAAAAAAAAGCAAGACCTGACTATAGTAATCAGATATTCTTATAATATTCACATAAACACATTAGGTGAAAATGCTTGCTCTGTTTAAACACTTTTATTCTGTTACAAGCCCATTACAGTTGGAATTGTGTACACATCAGAAAAGAGATTTTTGGTGTAAAAGACCTCTCCCTGTACATGTTTATCACACCGCGCAGGATGTTACAACATTTGTATCACACGTTCCCATAACCGTATTTTCAAATAAAGGCACATCACAGGGCTAATTTTACTTCTGCATGCAAGTCGCAGGGAGTTTAGGGCAAACTATTTTTTTTTGGAGGGGGGGAATACTCCAGCCATTTGATAAAAATGGAGGTAGTGTAAAGATTGTATGATACCACGTATCTGAATAGTGCTGTTACGTTAGTTATTTAATCAAGTTTAAACATTACTGAATATCCACTTTAACTTTTAAACTTGTTCTACAGCAACAAACGCTTGGTGAGAAATCTGATGGGCTATGTTATAAGGAAACTGGTTTGACTGACACTGGTAAGTTTTCATCCAGTAGACTTCTTACTAAGAGGCCCTCAGAACCAATGCCCCAGCTCTACTACTTGGTTCCCCAAACATTTTATTCTACATGACATCCAGGAATGGTTCCAGGCAGCTAGTTTGAGATCCAGTGAACTGCTGGATTAACCCCCCACAGTGGAGATCTTGTTTCTAAATCAAGTACTGTGATTTAGACTGTGCAGGGAATTCTTTCAGACAGTGGCTGTTTGCAACCTAATACCTTTCCTCCCCACCAAGTTATAGGATCTCCTATGGTGGCAGCAGCAAGATAATGGTGCGCAGGTGCCAGTGGCATAGCTTACATGCTGAGCAGCGCCAAAGGAAAGCTCGTGACAAGGAAGCAGTGCAGAAACCCACACCACTCAGGCCTCTGATACTACAAAAATGTAAGCTATAAAAACCCTTTCTCTAATACATTTATTTTACTGAACATGAGTTCATTTATTGGCCTTTACCAAAAAAATTACGGAAAGTACATATACGTAAACGTTTTCAGCTCTATCATTCTGCCTGGTACAGTATGTTCCTTGCGCTTTTCCTGGCAATTTGGCAGATGCACTTACAGTAGCATTTAATAATCATCCTCTTCATCAGATTCCAATACTTTTCTTCTGTTGAACTAGAAAGAAAAAATTACAGAGAGCACAATAAATGCAGCGTACAACAACTTAAAAACTTGAATCTTGGTAAGGTAGAGAAACATCCTATGGCTATACTAAAAGTGTTTCCTGGATCTTTTACTAGCATAGAAATAACGTAGAAATTCAGTGAGCACCACTAATGCAGGAGACAGTAGAAAAAACAGCTACTGCTATAATTTAAATCTACCCTCCCTAGCCACACTACTTTAATGTGCCCATTTTGGGGGTAACATTACTACTACTACAAGACCACAATTTACAGTTCTCGTCCTGTGAATGCATCTCACTCCTGACACTAAGCTATATCTGCATATTATTACATCATTACGAAAGAATCCTATGACTACCTGCCAACCCCTACCAGTGGAAAAGCAGGTAAGTAGGGGAGGAATCAGCTGACCAGCTCTGAAATAGTATTTATTATGCACATCTTATTTTCCAGCCCTTGACTACTTCTGTCTGAGGACATCTTATACTGTTTAGGAAGAGACCATTTACCTTTACTGTGGTTCTCTTTTCTGTTTGCTGGCTCACTTTTTCAAGTATTTCTATCAAACCTTGTTCTGATACCTAGGAAGGCAAAATAAAAACAGAATTAGTAGGAAAGAAGTGGCTTATTATCTCAATTGAATCAGCAGTATTCCATTCTCTTCCCTACATGTGCTTGGAAAAGGTGTTCAATAAACTACTGGGACTGTAAACCACATTAGTGGTTCAAGAACAAAGGAGTTACTGGTTATGCTGGATATTACTATCACTACTCAAAAGATATTCCTGAGGCAAGTTATAAGATAACTAACAGAACTGCAGCATTTCCAAATCACTGGCAATCAGCATTTTAAAAGGTGGAACTTTTCAACAGGAACTAGTTTTTTTTAATTAGATGGTCTCTAGAAGCCAGATCAAGGACAGGTAGAGTTCTCTTAAGATCTGGATTTCAGAAACCAAGGTTGTAAATACCTTGTCTTCCAGAGGACCTTAATTCCCATCTACCCAGAACCCAATTTACAGCTGTTTTTTGGTGTAGAGAGCCAGCCTCAAGAGCTCAGCCATTCTCCGTTCAGCATTTGCTTTTGCTGTAGTTTTGAAAGAGTGATTAGTAAATATAAGAACTTATCTTTATCAAAATTGTTGGGTTGTTTTGTGAAGCTGTATGGTATCCAGCATACTGCTATGTGACCATGGCATAACAGTATCACTAGCTCATAATATAACAAACTACACAGCCCTATTCACTTAAATTTATAGCCAACCTCTGAAATGTTACTACTTATATAACTAGGGCATTAGATCTGAATCACCCAAGGAATATGAACACCCTTTGCGCAGGATATGTATCTACTCTAAGATGCTGTGGGCAATGCAAGAAGTAGTGAAACTGATAGAATTGTATTGCTTGTGTCACACATCCAAAGCAAAGCATCACTATAACTGGTCTTTGTGCAGCTGATATAATGTAGAACAGTGTTTATTACAGAACTGTCAGTCTTCTTGGACTTTAAAAACTATGAAACCATTCTCTGCTCTGACAGTGGAGCAGGTTTATACTAATACAGGTACACACTTGTTTACATGTAAGTGATTTCTTGTTATGTAGAATAAGGGATCCAGAATTACTTGACTGCTTGCTCCAGTTCACAGCTTACCATGTGCTATTTCTGATCTTTTGGTATTTCATTATTGCAACGAACCTATTATTGATTAGCAGGGATCCTGGTTTCCAGTTTCCCACGGAAAAACACAGAAAACCACAGATTTCCCCTTTTAGCAGAGAAACCCATGGAGTCCCTGCTTTTGCAAAGAGCTCTGCAGGCTGGTTGAGCTCCAGCCTGCAAAAGCTGCTTGCAAACAGGGCAGGAAACCCCCAGCCCTGCCTGGAGGGGGAAGGGCAGGGCCTGAGACTGTCGGCCATGGCTCCACTCAGTTCAGCGTCACTCTTCACTCCTGGAGCCTGAGGTAAGTGGGGCTTGGTGGGGGCCCCTCTGGCAGGGCTGTGGGGAGCCAGCCTCAGCTGAGCAGCAGTGGGGGAAACAGCTCCATGCTGCTTCTGCTGCAGCTGTCTGCTGTTGGTGGCAGGGAGCTGTGGACATGGGTCACTGGGCCCATAGCCCTGGCAGCTGGGGGGTAGGGGCACCAGCAGGGCTAGGGGATGCTGCAGGGGGCTTTTAATGTTAATAATGGATTTGCAGGGTTTTAATCAGAGAAAACTAAGATCCCTGTTGATTACTTTGAGTGCTCAATTCCCAGCCTTTCCTCGGTATCTCCTCCACTTGCACTCGAGACATGCATGCAGAACTCAAGTAATGTAGTAACAGTACCACTGAAATGTCATGGTAAGGTCAGGGTACTGCTTTTTACCACACCTGCAGCCAAGTGGATTCACCCTACCATTTGTATTAATTACAAAGACCAACAATAATAACAGTAGCATTGGCTAATGCCGATTTTGTCCTCATAATTCCTTTGATCCTAACCTGTTCCCCCCCCACCATGCAAACAAAAGAAATGGAAAGACAAGAATTAAATACAGGTTTCCCAGAAAATTTAAAAGGAAACTATTATTTTAATAAGTTACAATGCCAAGTAACCTCTATGCAAAAAGAGGATATTTTTTGATCCAATGTAGCTGCTGTATAAGCTAAAACATTTCCATAATGTTATATACTTAGCTTCATGACATGAGTGTGTTACTTGCTATCCCAGTGGTCACCAACCAGTCAGTTGTGATCAACTGAACTATTGGGGAGCCCCTGACAGTTGATCTCAGTCTGGGGGGCCTAGCCCCACAACTGAGATTGACTATGAGAGGCTCCATGATCAGAAGTGGTGAGACGTATGTGAAGAACAGGAGGTCGATCCCCCTCTGCGCTCCCTGCCACCAGGCGAGTGGGGCTCCAGCCAGGCCAGGCCAGGAGAGGGTCAGAAGCCAGGTGGATCGTCCAGGCATGCAGGGACAGTGGGGCTCCTGAAGCTGCATGCACCCCAGTGGGAGGCCTGGGGGCTATGTGCCCCACTGATGTGCGCGCAGGGAGAGGTGGCTGCTGCTACGTGCTGGGCTTTGTGCTCCAAGCCCTGCGGAAGCTCGGGGCGCAAAGCTCGGGGCACAGCAGCAGCCGCCTTGCCCTGTGCACAGATTTGCCCTCGTGAAAGGGGGGGGGGGGGGGGGGGGGGCACTTGCCCCACAGGCCTGTGCTGGGATGTGTACAGCAGCAGGAGCCGCTAACCCTAACACCTCCCCCCTCCCCCCATGCTTGGACGAGCCACCCAGCCTCTAACCTGCCCCTGCCCCGGCTAGGGCCCCACTCACCCCTGCCCCACTCCCTCCCTCACCATGGAGGCCTTGATTTGCCCCTGTTCCCCCAGACTTGACCTACTGGGTGGGAGGCGGGGTAGGTGGGCTCTAGATCCTGGATTGCCCTTTACTTCAAAAAGTGATCTTCACCTTAAAAAGTTTGGAGACGACTGGGCTACACAATAACTGACTTTTAAGTTAAATCCAGCAGAAGAGGAGGATTATTTGGCAATTCCTGAGAGGTGTTGTTTTTTTGAGGATGAAGAAAACATTTCAAGATTCTGAGGTAAAAACCTTCTCAAAGTGCATAACAGTTATAAGTGTTAACATCTCGAACTTGTTTCTTTGGGAACAACAGATCTGAAAGTGACCCCAAGCAAAAGGAAGACCCAGACTAACATAATTTAACTTACTTTTCCAGGTAACTGTCCAAATCTTGCCATCTGTATAAGATAATTCTCCACAGCTTTTGCTTTATCTGGCTTCACAAGTGCCAAATTGCTTACTGTAACAAAAACAGGTTTACTTTTATACTCTACTATATTCATCTAACCTAAGTGATAAACACATGGCACAATGCAATCCTCTTTGTGCCAGGTTCTAAAACAAGAATAAGTGGAAGGGGAGGGGAGCTTTAACTTATACAAAACTAAGGGCACTTTTACACATACTCTGGAGATGGGGGGTGTTTTAATTAGAACGGCTCTGAGAGCTACTCTAATTAAAGCGCTGCCAAGTTTCTGTATCAGTGTCCCTACCCTTGAAAATGGTGGGGGTGGTGCTTGAACTAAAGTTCACTCAACAGCTTTGGTTCAAGTGCCCCCACTGCCATTTTTAAGCTCAGGGATGCTGGTACACGAGATGCAGGAGGCTACGGGAGGGCAGCAATTGCCACGCTCCAGCAGACTCCATTAATCAAGTCTGCTCAACCATGCTGGAATTCCAGCAAGTTGGACTGGCCTCGGCACTAGTGTACAGGTGCCCTAAGGCTTTACTTTTTTTGCACCTTCCAACATTTGTTCTGGGTTCAAACTTGTTATTGTCTACAAGACAACCTGCAGGCATTTGTCTCTGACAATGTGTCTATTAATGCAACCAAAGCAGCCATGCTCTCAATCCACTACTTATTCTTGTAAGTAAATCACAAAACCAAATTTAACAAAAATAGGCAATGGAGCAGGAGACTGTTCACCTCCGGACAATTGTCCCATTGAAGAGTTGTGACCAAAGTTGTTATCATTCAAAGTGGGTCTTTGCCACACTGTCCAAAGATGTACTCAAAATCCAAAGGCAGTGCTTCCCAAACTTTTTCTCAACATGACCCCATTTCTTCAACATAGCCCCCACCCTGACAACCCCCATCTGCTGATGTGGCAACCCTATTTGAGATCATGATAAACACATAGCACAATTCCCAGGTTTGGGAAATGCTGTCCTAAGGAATAAGCATCTATATTGTATTAACCCAACAGAGAACTCTTTGCATGGATTTTGGGGAAGAGACCCTGATTCTCACTTCAAGAGGCGTCCTCCAAAGTCTACTGGAGCAGCATGGGAAAGCCGGTACTGCTGCTACTTTTTAAAGTGTCTCTTTAAACAGGCACTGAATCAATCCAATGCCATTATTTGCAAGGACCAGACTTGTTCCCGGTTCCGTTATAATAAACTATCGGAGTTTGGGGACATTTGCTGTCCAGCACAAAGATTGACCCAGGACTTATTTCTTAAAACAGACATCACCAAGCGGGTCGAGGTGATGCATTTCTCTTGCACTCATCGTGCGTTTCTCTTATGTCTCCACCCGAACACATCGCTCTAGAGGCCTGATTCAGAGCCGTGACTCTGGACCCAAGGGCCCCACCAGGTTTGTTTGTTTTTTTCCAAAGAGTGCTGCGAGGAGACAAGCAGCTCAATAAGCAGAGGAATGCGTGCTCTGGCCTGTCTCGATGCCCCCGTTCCCCGGGCAAGAAAGGAAGGAAGCTGTGCTGTCATCTATACAACTGCATTTTGCAGTTGGGTGCCAATGGAGGGAGGGGACACAACACATGGCGGGGGCCCGGCTGCTTACGTCTGGCGCGGGCAGCTTGATCCAGGACTTGAGCTAAGATGTTGTTTCTCATCTCGGCCTCCCTGCAGAGGAGAGTGCGTTACACGGGCGGGGCGCGCCCAGCACCCGCCCAAGGGCTGCGGGGCCGACCCCGCGCCGCTCGCGGCCCCCTCCCCCGCTCCCAGCGCCCCCTACCTCTGCTTGGCTTCCTGCTGCGCCACATCGCTCGCGGGGTCCTGAAAGACAACGAGGCCGCAGCGCCCCTCAGTCACCGCCCTCCCTCGCGGCCGCCCCCACGCCCCCCGCCGGCCCCGAACCTCACCCCGTGC